TGCTGCTGCTGCTGCTGCTGCTGCTGCTGCTGCTGCTGCTGCTGCTGCTGCTGCTGCTGCGGGTCGCCCGCGCCGGCGCCCACCCCCATCCACACCCCGCCGCCCGCGGGGGCCTCCGAGGCCTCCGGCTCCTCTGCTTCTTCCTCAGCAGCAGCAGCAGCAGCAGCAGCAGCAGCAATGCAGCCAAATGCAGCGCCCTCGCTGCGGGGCACCTGCACGCGGTAGGTCCTGTCCTGGGGGGCCCCCTGGGGGGCCCCCTGCTGCTGCTTCTGCAGATGGTCCAGGCCCCACAGCACACGTCTTGCTGCTGCTGCTGCTGCTGCTGGCTGCGCCTGCTGCTGCTCCTTTAGCTGCTGCAGCAAAGTCTGCTGCTGCCCGGAACCTGTGGACCGCCAGCGACCGCGCAGCGGGCCTTCGTACTCAGACTCAGCTTCTGCTGCTGCTGCTGCTGCTGCTGTGTCTGCTGCATCAGCATCTGCTGCAGCAGCATCGGCTGCATCTGCTGCTGCTGCTGCTTTTGTCGCTGTTCCTGCTGCGCTTCTTTTGTCTTGAGCTTCTGCCTTTTTGGCTCTGTCAGCTGCTGCTGCTGCTGCAGTTGCTGCTGCCTCCTTTGCCGTGACTGCTGCTGCTCGACGACGACGACGACGACGACGACGAGGTCTAGTTGCTGCTGCTGCTGCTGCTGCTGCTTCTGCTGCTGCCTGCTCTGCTGCTGCGCTTTGTGGACTGGCAGCAGCATGCACGTCCTTCAGCAAAACACTTGCGAAGCCAGAAAGAGAAGTATTAGCAATGCCATAGTTATGTCCTGCTGCTGCTTCTGCTGCTGCTGCTGCTGCTTCCCGCTTCACCATTTCATCCCAGGCCTCCTGCAGCTGCTCTGTGGGCGTCTTGCGGCAGAAGGGCGGGGGCTCTTGCTGCTGCTGCTGCTGCTGCTGCTGCTGCTGCTGGGACGCGTCGGCCTCCAGGGAGGGCCACGCTGTAGATGGGGATTTCTGCTGCTGCTGCTGCTGCTGCTGCTGCTTCGCCTGGGGCTCTGGCCACTGCTGCTGCTGCTGGTGCTGCTTCATGAGCGCCGCGTGGGACATCCCCGGGGCCCCTTGCGAGGCTGCAGCAGCAGGGCCTTTGCCACCCCACAGCTCGTCCTCGTCGGAGTCCACCACCTGCTGCTGCTGCTGCTGCTGCTGCTGCTGCTGCTCCTGCATGTTCTGCTCTGCGCAGCGCTCGTCAAAGGCCCGCAGCAGCGCCTCCGCCTCCTGCGGCAGCGTCGACTCTTCAGCAACTACTCGCCGCCCCTCGAAGTCGAAAGTCACCTTCGTTCGCCCTGCAGCAGCAGCAGCAGCAGCAGCAGCAGCAGCAGCAGCAGCAGCAGCAGCAGCAGCAGGGGCAGTGGTACATACGGGGAGGACGGAGGCCCCATAAGCCGACCCGACAGCCCCGTAGGGCAGCAGCTAAAAGACTGTCAAGTGCTGCTGCAGTGCAAGGCATTGCCAGGGTATAAATGAATTCCTGCGGAGCAGTATCTGCTGCTGTTGCTGCTGCTGCTGCTAGCAGCAGCAGCAGCAGCAGCAACAGCAGCAACAGAAGCAAGAGCAGCGGCAGACACGAGTCTTGGAGAGAGCGGCCCCGGAGGGTTTAGGGTTTAGGGTTTAGGGTTTGTGGGGTCTGGAGCGCACCCTTCTCGAGGTTGAAGGCCTGGTTGAGGCGCTGCAGCAGCAGCTGCCGCTCCTGCTGCTGCTGCGGCGTCAGCCAAATGTTTGCTGCTGGGGCCTCAGCAAAACCCTCGTTGGCGTCGAACCAGCAGCTGTTCATGTCCAGGATTTTGGTTTGCTGCTGCTAAAGTTACTGCCACTGCTGCTGCTGCGTTTGCAGTTATTGCTACTGCTGCTGCTGCTGCTGCTGCACTTACCCTTGAGGTGGGCCTCATCGGCTCTGATCTGCTCCTGCAGTTTTGCGATATCCTCTTGAAAACTCTCCAAGGGCTGCTGCAGCTGCTGCTCCTGCTGCAGCAGCTGCTGCTGCTGCTGCAGCTGCTGCAGCTGCTGTCTGTTCTCAGCAAGCCCCTTTTCCACAGCAGCAGCTAGGGAAGTGAGCCCCGCACTGGGTACAATTTCATTTGCACAAAAGAGGCAGCGGAGGGCCCCAGGGGCCCCCAAGTTGCTGCTGCTGCTGCTGCTGCTGCTGCTGCTGCTGATTCCATAGCGGCAGCGAATGAGGCCGCAGCTGAGGCAAATCCCGTAGGCCCCGTGTTCAGCTCCCAGGCAAAGGCAGTGTGCTGCTGCTGCTGTTGCTGCTGCTGCTGCTGCCGCTGCTGCTGCGGCTGCTTTTCGCGCTGCGCGTGCAGAACCTCCGCTTTCCTCGTCCTTTTTGCTGCGCAGGGAAGCCCCGCTGCTGCTGCTGCTGCTGCTGCTGCTGGCAGCAGGCACAGCAGCTATGCCGAACTGCTGCAGCACCTGCTGCTGCTTCCGCGGCACGCGGCGCCGCGGCGGCGGCGCCTCTGGCCAGTCTAGCTCTTCTAGGGAAGCAGCAGCAAATGTGGTGTTGGCTGCTTTCTCATCTTGCTGCTGCTGCTGCTGCTGCTTGTTCTTTTGCTGCTGCTGCTGCTGCTGCTTCTGTACGCTATCAGGGCTGTGCTGCAGCTGCTGCTGCTGCTGCTGCTGCTGCTGCTGCTTGGGCTCCCCTTGCTTCTGATGCGGCGCTTGCGACTTCGTGTGCAGCTGTTGCCGCTGTTGCTGCTTTTGCTGCTGCTGCTGCTGCCTAGGAGACTGCGAGCTTCTGTCTTTCTGCGGCAGCTGTTGCTGCTGCTGCGGAGACTGCGGCTTTTTGCTTTTCTGCTGCTGCTGCGGGTATTTCTGCTGCTCTGGATGTCCCCTGCTGGCCTCGACATGTTGCTGCTGCGCCTGGACTTGCTGCTGCTGCTGCTGCTGCTGCGGCTGCCGTCGCCAAGCCAGTGGCTCGCCTGGCAAACGCGGGGACTGCAGGGGTTGGCAGCTGCTGCTGCTGCTGCTGCTGCTTCTGCTGCTGCGTTCTGCTTCTGCTGCTCCCGCCTGGTGGCTTCTCTTGCGAGCTGCTGCAGCATCTGCTGCTGCCTCTGCGGGCTGAGAGCTTTCCTTTTTATTTGCACTTTGAGCTGCTTCAAGAGGTGCCGCAGCAGCAGCGGAAGCAGCAGCACAGTCCACAAAAGCCTGTACAAAGCTCTCAATTAAAGGCTGCGCCTCGCGGAAGCCTGCGGGAGTATGCAGAGGCTCGACAATGGCCTCTACGAAGGAGCGCAGGTTCTCTACGGCCGCTGGATCGACTGCAGCACTTTGCTGCTGCTGCTGCTGCTGCTGCTGCGTCTGCTGCTGCTGCGACCCCTCCGCCAGGTAGTCCCACATGTGCTGCAGCAGCTCCGGGGATACCTCAGCGACGGGCATGCCCAGGAGTTCAGCCAGCAGCGGCAGCTGCGCTGCGGCGAAGTCTTCCGGAATCAGCAGCGGAGGCCCCATGGCTGCTGCTGCTGCTGCTGCTGCTGCTGCTGCTGCTGGGTCTTCTGCAGGCCGCTGCGGCTCAAGAAGGCACTTTACAACGGCGCCCGAGAGGCACACATCAGCAGCAAAGAAGCCGCAGCGGGCCCTCGAGGCCTGGAGGGCCCCCCGGAGAGCCGAGAACGCCTGTGCAGGTTCTGGCGCTGGTCTCGGCTGCGCGGAAGCAGCTGCAGCAGTCGGTGCAGCGCCTCCGCAGCAGCAGCAGCAGAAAAGACCTGCAGCTGCGTCATGAAAAGGATTTACTGCCGCAGAGGCCCCGGAACCGCCAGCTTCCACCCACAAAGCCTCGCCCGGCTCGCGGCGTGGCTGCATGCACCCGCGCGCAGCCGATCTCCACGGAAAGCCCGCCTCTGGAGCTTGAAATTGCACATTTTTGTATTTAATTATAAAAACTTATTTTGAAAACGGGGCTTGGAAAGGAAAGCGGCGCCGGGAAAGCGGAGGATCGCGGGCGTTCAAGTTCGCGTCCGCTGCTGCTGCGTTCCGCCGCGTCGCCGGCGCGCTGCTGCTGCTGCTGCTGCTGCTCCCGCAGACTCCAAGTCTTCGAACTTTATTTCTTTTTTAATTTCTTTTGGGAATTTCAGCTTCCGGAAATCCTCCGCAGAGCTGGCCAGGCAGCGGCGCAGCAGCAGCTTGCGCGGCTGGCCCCGGCGTTCGTCTTGGGCTTGCGGGGAGCTTCGGAAGTGCGCATCTTCATTTCGTCTAGGGTTTAGGGTTTAGGGTTTAGGGTTTACGGCGAGGGTTTAGGGTTTACGTCAAGGCGAAGGCTGAATCGGCTCCCGGCGAAGCGCCTGTCGGGGCCCCTCCAGCTCCGCTTTCGGGTGTCACTGCACCTCCCAACTCCCCACGATGGCTTCGGGCCTTCAGTCGCTGCTTGAGCGTGAGTCCTCCTGCAGCAGCAGCAGCAGCAGCTGCAGCAGCAGCAGCAACAGCAGCAGCAGCAGCAGCAGTGGGCGCTCTGCAACATCCAGCCCTTATTTGTCGCTTGTCTTCTCGCTAACTGTTGCCTTAGCTGTTGCTGCTCCGTTGCTGCTCAGCGTCTGCTTTGCTGCTGCTTTGCTGCTGCTGCTGTGCTGCTACTGCTGCGCTGCTGCTTCGTTTGCTGTCAGCTGCAGTCGCTGCATGCGTGGGGCGTGTGTGCCTCCAAATTTTGACTTTTAAACTGCCATTAAAAGTAAAAAGTGTTTATTAATCAACAGAGAACGAACTGAACTCGTGCTGCTGCGAAAAAGCCGAGGATCGCGCTGCTGCTGCCGCCGCTGCTGCTGCTGCTGCTGCTGCTGCTGCTGCTGCAGACCGCGTGTGCGTGCTGACCTTCGACGGGCGCCTCTTCATGGGAACTTTAATTGCCTTCGACCAATCCACAAATATCGTTTTGAATAAATGCGCAGAAAAAGTTGTGCACGAAGACGCGCCCGTGGAGATCGTGCCGCTGGGGCTTTATTTGCTGCGGGGGGATAACATGTAAGCAGTTTAAAATTAAAATTAAAATTGAAAATAAGGAGTCAAAATTAAACTTAAAGCAAAATGAAAAACAAATTTAAAATTTAAACCAAAACCCAAACCAAAACCCTAATCAGTGCAACAAACCTGAATTTTGAATTCAAGTTTCGCGAAAGCAGCAGCACCCTGCGCAGCAATGAGAGATCTTCGCCGCAGCAATGATTTAAAAGACTTTTTATTTTATTTTTTATTTTGTTTTTGTTTTTATTTTATTTATTTGTATTTTTATTTTTATTTTGCTGCTGGCAGAGCCGTTGTCGGCCAGGTTGACGAAGACGTGGAGAAGTCGATCGACGCTTCGGGTGTACGTGCACCTCCGCTGAAGCCGGTGAGTGGAAGAAAGCATTTAATTCTCATTTTCATTTTCATTTAAAATAATTTGCTGACAACGCAACCTGCTGCTGCTGCTGCTGCTGCTGCGCTGCAGATCAAACACTCCTAGCCCTGCCTTTTGCTGTTTTCTTTTTTGGAAAAAATGCAAAGAAGTTGCGGGCTTCGCTCCACGCTGTCCATACACCGCAGCCAGCTGTCTTCTGCCGGAGGAAAGCAGAAGAGTTTGCACAAAAGGCAATAAATGAAATTTTGCAAATTATTTATTTAGTTTTGCAAAATTAAATTGAATTTAATGTGCACTTCAGCCTGTGGACACGCATTTAGTGGCCCTTCAAGTGAAGGGAAAGACTTTGTGGGATTTCCCGGTGGCCATTTGCTGGGAAAAAAGCCCTGAGAGCTCTTTTGTTTTCCAAACAAATTAGTTGCATTATTTTGACTTAGTGCATTTTGCTGCTCCTTTAGTTGCAAACTAATTTGTTTTGTTTTCCAAAAATAATTAATTGCATTATTTCGACTTAGTCCATTTTGCTGCTCCCCTTTAGCTGCAACTCCCAGGCTCGCGCGTGGGGCCCTTCTAGCGCAGTTCCGCGCTGCTGCTGCTGCAGACGCTGCAGCAGCAGCAGCAGCTGCTGCTGCTGCGCCTACTGCAGACGCTGCAGCAGCAGCGTGAACGCGCGCAGCAGCAGCTGCTGCTGCTCCACCTACTGCAGGCGCTGCAGCAGCAGCGTGAAACCCCGCAGCAGCAGCGGCTGCTGCTGCACCTGCTGCAGCAGCTTCTTGAATGGAAGTGCAGCAAGACGGAGCTGCAGCTGCTCTCAAGGCAGTTTGGCGGGCTGCAGCCTGAGGCTTAAAATAGGGAATTGCAAATTATTTATTTGCGTTTATAAATTCAATATTTGATCTGCACATGCTGCTGCACTTGTTGCTGCACATCTTGTTGAGTTGCTGCTGGCCGTGTGTGTGGCTTTGCTGCAGCTGGCAGCCCAGTGTTTAGTCCAGTTTGTTGCAGCAAATTTGAACTTTCAGAAAGATGAAATAAAGTTTTCGCATTTGAATTCGTGCGGCAGCTTCCGCGGCTTCTCCGAGGTGTACGTACACCCCGCGGGCGCAGTCGACACCAATGGCCTCCGCGGCCCTGCGCGGCCGCGCAGCAAATGAGCTGCTGCTGCTGTCCCAAATGTTATTTTTGTTTATTTAATTGTTTTTTTTGTAGTTTTTGACTTTTATTTTCTTTTATTACCGGAAAAGGCGGCGCCTGACGCACCGCGGGCTGCGCGCGTGCAGCTTGTGAGCGCCGCTGGATCTGCTCGACGCGATCTCGGCTTCCGCGTTGTTCCCGCGGTTCTTTTTGCAAAATTAAATCTGCATTTAGTAATTAAATGCATTTGCGAATTAATTTTGCGGAGAAGACGGCGGCAGCAGCAGCAGAGGCTCCGTATTCCGCAGATCGTTGCGCCGCAGCGCCAGCTGACCATTGACTTGAACGGACCCCCGCGCCGCCTTCTGCACAGCCAGTTCTTCTTTCCCTTCCGCACTTCATTTATTTTATTTATTTTATATTTTTATTTTATTATTTTCTTTCGTTATTGCGGCTTCTTTCCACCTTCAAAACATGTACGGCAGCGGGATCGAAGACGGCTTCTCTCTGGGCACTGCCTCTGAATTCGGCGGCTGGAGCAGCAGGGATTTGTCTCAGTCGCAAACAGGCCCTTTTCTGCAGCCCCACGCAGCAAACAGCCCCTTCAGGGGCTCCTATGGGGGCCCCCCTGGGGGCCCCCAAGGGGGCCCCCAGGGGGGCCCCCAAGGGGGCCCCTACGGGGCCCCACAGGCCACCACTGCTGCTGCAGCGGCATACAAGACTACCAACTACAGGGCTTTGGAGCAGCAGCTAAAACTCCGCATGCAAAATGCAGAGAGTGCACTGAAGCGGGCTGAGCTGACGCCGCGCAGTAAGTGCTGCTGCTGCTGCTGCTGCTGCTGCTGCTGCAGGATGTCTTTTGGAATTGCTGCTGCTGCTTCCAGAGCGCTGGAGCTGCTGCGCTGCTGCTGCTGCTTCCAGTGTGCTGCAGCTGCTGCGCTGCTGCTGCTGCCCGCAGGCCCCCACGTGGCCGCCGCCCTCGCCACGGCTATTTCAGACGCTGATGTCACTGTGGGCCATTTGCTGCACCCTAAACCCTCGATATTGGCCCAAACCCTAAACCCTAAACCCTAAACCCTAAACCCTAAACCCTAATGTCTAAGTCCTAACCTTGGGCTCGAAACCCTAATCCCTGGGGTGCGTCTGCGGCTTTTGGCTGCGTAGTCCTCACTAGCTGCTTCTTAACCTTCCTTTTTCTTCATTGTGTTCTCTGCTGCTGCTGCTGCTGCTGCTGCTGCTGCTGTTGCTGCTGCTGCTGCTGTTGCTTCTGCTGCTGCTGCAGCTGCAGCAGCTCAGCATTGAAGCCAGGGGCTCTCCCTCAGGCCAGGCGTTGGCTGCGGAGGTGCGACTTTCGCGTTTTCCTGCCTCTCTTAGCACCCAATAAACTAATTAAATTAAATTATTTAATTTAAGTAATTAATTAATTAATTAATTAATTAATTAATTAATTGATTAATTAATTAACTGTTTTGTGGCTGCGTCCCAGCTGGCTGCGTACGGAGATGCGCTGGCGCGCCTGCGGCAGCAGAGCGAAGAGTGGAGGAGCCGGGCAGCACCAGGCGAGGTGGGCAGTTGGACTTGGCGTAAATTTTGTCTTTTTTTGAATTTTAAAATGTTTTTGGAAGCAAAATTGAAATAAAAGTACATTAAAAGTACATTTAAAAGAATATACTTGCGAAATGCTGCACAAAGATGCCCCTAGAGGCGAAAACCGCAGCAGCAAGCTGCGCATCCACGCATGCATGCATGCATGCATGCATGCATGCATGCATGCGCGCTGAGGTGTACAGACACCCCACCAACAACTCGAACCAGAAGAACTTGCAGAAGTCAGCTCCAGATTAATTCTTGAAAGTAATTCTTCCGCGCTGCAGACTGAAGGCATAGGACTCCAGATCATGCAGCAGCTTCGCACTCAGCGCGACGCCATCATCAAGACCAACCGCCTCGTAAACCCTAAACCCTAAACCCTAAACCCTAAACCCTAGCTGACAGCGCAGCCGCCGCAGCGGCCGCGGGATCAGGGAGCAGAGCGCTGGGGTGTGCGTACACCGCATCAGCGGCGGAAAGCGCTGCGGTGTACGTACACCGGAGCCGCCCGCCGCTGCTGCTGCTGCTGCTACTGCTGCTGCTGCTGCTGCTACTGCTGCTGCTGCTGCTGCTGCTGCTGCTGGCTCGCAGGCAGAAGGCACGGGGGCAGAGGGCGCGCGGGGCAGGCAGGCCATTGTGAAAATGATTCGTGACCACTGGTTAAACCGGGTGCTGCTGACGGGGACCATTTTGCTGCTGGCTGTTTGCATTTTGCTGCTGCTGCTGCACAAGGCCAGACTTTTCCGCTTTTTTGTCTAAGTCTTTGCAACAAACTCCTTTGAAAGTCTTTTTATTTCCTTTTGAAAATAAATTCAAATTAATTGCACTTTTTATTCATTTCAATTGCAGATTTATTTAAATTCTTCAAATTCATTTTCTCCGCTTTTCGCGCTGCAGCAAAAGCCCACAGAGCTGCGCAGACACCCCGCTGCGCTGTAACTGCAGCAGCGCATGCATAAATATAAATGAGAATACAAATAAAATATAAATAAAAATATAAATAAAAATATAAATAAAAATATAAATATATAAATAAAATGTAATTAAGAATATAAGTGAAAATATGCAGTTTCGTAGTGGCTAGCTAGCCGGGGCAGCCTGGCTAGCTGCTGCGCTTGAGCTAGCTAGCTGCTTCGTGCTGCTGCTGCGCTTGAGCTAGCTAGCTGCTTCGTGCTGCTGCTGCACTTGAGCTAGCTAGCTGCTTCGTGCTGCTGCTGCACTTGAGCTAGCTAGCTGCTTCGTGTTGCTGCTGCTCTGCCTAGCTAGCTACCTCCTCGGCCGCCTTGCAGCTAGCTTGTGCTGGCGCGCTGCTGGCTAGCTAGAATGCCAGCTAGCTGGCTAGCTAGCTAGCCAGCTAGCTGCCACGAGCTAGCTAGCTACCTAGCCAGCTAGTTGCGTGCTAGCTGGCTAGCTACGAGCTCGTCAGCTAGCTAACTAGCCAGCTAGCTCCCGTGTCCCTCCACCTGGACCAGCCACTAGCTACTGTTGGCTCCTGCGTGGCTAGCTGCTGGCTAGCTGCTGGCTAGCTGCTGGCTAGCTGCTGGCTAGCTTCTCGTTAGCTTCTCGCTAGCTTCTCGCTAGCTGCTGGCTAGCTTCTCGCTAGCTTCTCGCTAGCTGCTGGCTAGCTGCTGGCTAGCTGCTGGCTAGCTTCTCGTTAGCCCCCGGCTAGCTGTTGGCTAGCTGCTGGCTAGCTGCTGGCTAGCTGCTGCTTGTCACATCTTAGGCGCGGCGCCTGGCCGCGTTGAGTCCAGCGCAGCTTTGAGCCAAAGTCTACGGCCGTGCTGCCGCGCCTGCGTCGGCAGCAGCAGCAGCAGCAGCAGCAGCAGCAGCAACTGCAGCAGCAGCTGCTGCGCGCCGCCTGCCCCCCAGTTGTCTGCAGTTCACCTTCACAGCGTGTGGACTCCCATATATGGCTAAATAAATATAATTCATAAAAGTGCAAACTTAATTCTTTAAAATGTAAACAGATATACACTTTTGCAGGCCCGCGCGTGTACATACACCCGGACCCTCAGGTGTCTGTACACCCCAGACACACAACCACCGCCTCTCCTTCAGAGGCTCTTCAGCATTTCATTTAAAGCCCCAAAGCTCTATTTCGAGCCACACAAGCCCGCATGCATGCAAACGCCCCCAAGGGGCCTCACGGGGCCCCCGTGGGGCCCCAAGGGGCCCCACGGGGGCCCCCTGGGGCCCCCTGGGGGCCCCAGGGGGCTCCAGGGGGCCCCACACCTCGGAAGGCCCCCACTTCGAGGGCCCAGGAGGGCCCCAGGGGGCCCCAGGGGGCCCCAGGGGGCCCCCACTTCGGGGGCTCCAGGGCCCAGCACGCCCACCAGACCTAGAGGGGCCTCTCGGGGCCCCCATCAGGCATCTGGGGCCCCCCAGAGGCCCCAGGGGGCCCCCAATGGCCCCAGGTGGGCCCCGAGAGGCCCCAGATGGGCCCCAGGGGGCCCCCGGGGGCCCCCAGAGGCCCCAGAGGGTCCTCCAGAAACCCCTTAGGCGCCCCAGTCGTCCCCCAGGGCACTGGGGGCCCCCAAGTGGGCCCAGGGGGCCCCCTAGGGGCCCCCTAGGGGCCCCCAAGGGGGCCCCTAGGCCGTGAGTCTCTTGTGAGCAGCAGAGACGAAGACTGGGTGGATGAGGCTGGCCTTGACGGCGTACAAATAGAGCCACTGGGGGATCATGAGGAGTTGGCAGTCGCCGTCTGAGAAAGAAGAAAATGGAAAATAATTAATTTAGTTCATTTAAATCATTTAAATCATTTAAATCATTTAAATTAATTGTTTATTTGTTGAATTTGTTGCTTTAAATGAATTATTCAAAAAAATCCAGTCAAGGCAATGCCAGAGAGCTCTCCAGCGTCACCACAAGCTGGGGTTGAGGCGCTGCTGCGCCGACACAGCAGCAGCAGCAGCAGCAGCAGCAGCACGAGCAGCAGCAGCAAGACCAATGAAAGCAGCAAAAGCAGCAACAGAAGCAGCGACAGCAACAGCAGCAGCAACAGCAACAACAGCAGCAGCAACAGCAACAACAGCAGCAGCAACAGCAGCAGCAGCAGCAGCAACAGCAGCAGCAGCAGCAGACCTGTTCTGGAGCCGAAGTCTGGGAAGTATGCAGATTTGCTGCTGAGTTCGTCGAAGAAGCAATCAACAGCAGCTAACTCTTCGGGGCCCAAACCACTTTGCTGCAGCAGCTGCTGCAGTGTGGGGTTGCTGAGAGCAGCAGCAAGCTGCTGCACCAGTTCCCGCAGCTCTTGGTCCTGCGCCTCCAGCTGCTGCTGCAGCGACTCCGCAGCAGCAGCAGCAGCAGCAGCAGCAGCATCCGGCCCCCTGCTGCTGCCCCTGCCCCTGCTGCCGGCCTCCTCGAGGCCCCTCTCGGGGGGCCCCCCCGGGGCCCCGGGGGGCCCCCCGGGGGGCCCCCCGGGGGGCCCCCCAGGCGCGGGGGCCCCTCCAGGGGCCCCCGCATGCAGCGGGTGGTGCACAGAAACCCTAAACTGCTGCAGACAAGCTGGCTGCCGAATTGTTTCTCCTTCTATTACATATCCCCTCGCCATTGTCGGAGGCAAAGTCACTCCATGAGTTGCTTCTTCCTGCAGCGACCTCTGGGGGGCCCCTGCCGCCTGCGCGGTGTCGGGGGCCCTGGGGGCCCCGGGGGCCCCCGGGGCCCCGGGGGGCCCCCGGGCCCTGGGGCCCCCCGGGGGCCCCGCAGGCTGGGGGCCCCCTGCTGCCTCTCGGCTGCGAAGCCCATAGCCCTTTGGGAAGACTGGGGAAGACCTTGGGGCCAGGTAGCCGCTGCTGCTGCTGATGCTGCTGCTGCTGTCGTC